GGCAGAGGCAGTCGGATCTCTGTGAGTTCAAGGCCAGCCTGGTCTACATAGCGAGTTCCAGGCCAGCTGGGTCAGCTGGGGCTACAAGGAGACCCTGTCTCAAAAAGACAAAAAGAAGAAGAAAAAAAAGAAAAAAATCTTTGCTGGGCATGGTGGTGCACACCTTTAATCCCAGGCACTGGGGAGGCAGAGGCAGGCGGATCTCTGTGAGTTCAAGGCCAGCCTGGTCTACATAGTGAGTTCCAGGCCAGCTGGGGCTACAGGGAGACCCTGTCTCAAAAAGACCAAAAAAGAAAAAAGAAAAGCAGCAGAATAGAAAAGATCAATATAGACACATATACATTTAACATTCCTGGGAAGCTGAAGTAAAAGTCAAATTGAGGCTGGAGTTACAGCTCAGTGGGAAAGTTGTTGAACATGTGTAAGGCCCTGTGTTTTACCCCAACACACTACTCATGCCCCACCACACCAAAGAGAAGTAAAATATAGTAATTGAGGAGACCAATTTGCTATTTATGGAATGGTCTCAATGTTTAATGTGAAAAAAGCAACTTAAAGAATATGTATGATGTGATCCGAGTTAAAATATACAGAGCCAGCAAGATTGCTCAACAGGTAAAGCTGCTTGCTGTCAAGCACGATGACCTGAATTCCACCCCCATGGCCCACAAGGTAGGGATAAGGAACCAACTTCCACAGATTCTCCTCTGGCCTCCTGTTCCTGTTCCCCTACCCCAGTGGCTAAACAAATATAAATGTAGAATAAGGGGCTGGATAGATGGTTCAGTAGTTAAGAGTGCATACTGCTCTGAGAGGACCAAGTTCAGTTCCAAGCACCCAGATGGCTTACCACCATCTGTAACATGCTCCATGGACTCTAACACCTTCTTCTGGGCTTCAAGGGCACATGGACTCACATATGCACATGCACACATACACACACAATTAAAAATAAAATATGCATACATATGTGGCCTGCAGGCTATATAACTATGGATAAATCTTCCTGTCTGTCATATGTATAACTTTTTCTTGGAAGTCAAACACAGACTAAACCCTGGCTTCTGGAAGAAGGGTTGGTGGTTTTCTTTGTTCAATCTGTACTCAGTCCTGTCAGGTTTCCTTTTAAAACTTTTTAAAAAATTTTATTTATTTATTTTTTATGTTTATGCATGTATTGCCTGCATGTAGGTTAGTTCACCCGTGTTGTGCAATGCCCAAGGAGGTCAGAAGAGGCTGTCGGATCCCCTGGGACTGGAGTTACGGACAGTTGTTAGCTGCCATGCGGGTGCTGGGATTTGAACCCGGGTCTTCTGCAAGAACAACCAGTGCTGTTAACCGCTGAGCCGTCTCTCCAGCCCCAGGTTTCCTTTCATATATGCATATTTCCTTTATTTTCTGTTGTTCTTGTAGAATTGGTTTCCTTGTTAGTTTTGTTGTTCTTTGTTTTATGAACATGGGTCTTGCGATGTAGCCCAGGCTAACTTTGAATTTACAATCCTTCTGCCTTAGCTTACCCACTGCTGGGATTACAGGCATGTACTACTTATTATGCCTCACTTTTTATGCTGTTTTTTGTTTAAGACAGAATCTCACTATGTATACCTGGCTGGCCTGGTACTCAGTATGTAGACCAAGCTGGTTTCAAACCCACTGAGGTCTTAAAGCGATTGAGTCTCAAACCCAAACCCACAGAGATCTTCCTGCCTCTGCCCCCACCCCCATGCTAGGATTACAGGTGTTTACTACCATATCGGGCTTCCTTGTTGTTCGGTTTGATTTTCAAAGATTTATTGTTTTTTGCTACTAGGTTGAACCCAGGGTTTCAAGCACAATAGCTAAGTATTACCCATCAACTTAACATCCACAGCCCCTATATTACTTTAAGACAAGTTCTCATTAAGTTGTCCAGGCAGGCCTCAAACTTGGATTTCTCCTATCTCAGCTTCCATAGTAGCTGGGATTACAGGTGTGCAATATCCACTCTCTTTTAAAGATGTTATTTTCAAGCATTATAGTAAGCTTTCATTTACTTGAGGGTGTTTCATTTGCTAAGTTCCACAAAAAAAAGGGGCTGGTCTCTATCTTTGAATCTTTGGAACCATACAGGTCAGAGACAAGATGAATCAAGAATTGACAGCTGGTCCCATGTGAGCCTTCCCTCTGAATGACCTGGATCCCAAGAGTGAGAGTGAAGACAGGGATGTGATGGGGATGGATGAATCAACGGAACACATGCCCAAGGGAGGTTCAGGGTAGTGACATCCACTTTTTCAGTGCACTTTTGGATGTGATTCCAAAGATTCTTCTTGTTCTTGTTAAAAGCATCAATTAAAGATCTCAATTTTCTATCTTCATACCGACTTCTAATATGACTTTTCTCTCAAGATAATCATTAATTTGATAGAAGAAATTTGACAGGTGTTCATTGTCTTGGATGGCCTGGGCTTGCTGGGTTAACGTGGAGAAAGGAAACATTCCAGCACCCAGGAGTATCCTGGCTGTGTGAACGCCACTGGCCTGAGGAAGTCATGGGAGAGTTTTTGTGAACCAGCCCTCATACTCAGTTGCAGAGACCCAAGTCTGCTTTGCTTAGTGGGGAAGCCTTGCCCTGTGACAGTGATATCCATGGCACAGAGTTCCAACTCTGGGGCTAGTGTTTCTTTACAGCAAGCTGTTTATTAGAAAATTCAGAAGGTTTTTTATATATTACAAGGAACTGGCAATCATGTGGGGTTTAGCAGTTACATACAAAGATTTAGGGCACAATTAGACAAGAAACAGGACATAGAGCTTTTAGGTGGCACCAGCTAGGGGCTGTTTGTAAAGCAGGATGCTTGAACTTTTACTCAAGGTTACCAGTGCCTATCTGGTAATTTATTGGCCACAATGTTTTCTTTCTTAGGGCTAAAAGCACAGTAAACCTTTAGCTTTTTTAAAAAAATATTTTATTATTTTTATTTTATGTGTACACCCATGTCATGCAATGCCCGCAGAGGACAGAAGAGGCTGTTGGATCCCCTGGAACTGGAGTTACGGACAGTTGTTAGCTGCCATGTGGGTGCTGGGATTCGAACCTGGGTCTTCTGCAAGAACAGTATTCTTAACCGCTGAGCCATCTCTCCGGACTGTAAACTTTTAGCTTTTAGTCCACGAGTAAACCTTTAACTTGGCCTAATCTTCTTGCTAATGATAGCTGAGTTATTTGTTCAGGACAAGGAGGTGGGCTAAGGGCTGTTGACCAAGATGTTTTCCCTCAGAGCAAGGAGCTTAAACTTTTGACCTGGCCACTTTCCTCTTGCTAGCCCTGCAGTGTCCTGCAAGACAGTGAGTTGAGAGCTGCTGTTTTCAGTGCCCTTCCCTTCAGCAGAGAATGTAGCCTGGACTTTAAAAGTTTTAGGCTCATCTCGCCCTAGGGCATGCCATCCTGGTTTCCTACACCCAGTCTTCCTTAAGGCACATGTTTGAGGCCCACTTGGGAAGGCTAGAGAGTCTAAGCAGGCCCTGTAGTGGGTTTAGGGTGGCCTGGTGACTGGAGCCTGGGGGTTAGGGCAAGAAACTGCTGGCCATACCCATTGACAGTGGTGAGGGCAACTCAGGGCACATTGTGCATACTTGTACTCTAATGAGATGTATAGTACTCCTAAGAGATTGTACAGATGAACCAGAGAAGTCAGCAACTAGGTCCGTGAATGGGTGGGAGCCTTACATCATTGGCCAATCTGTAGATTTCATCTAATTCTCATCAGGATCTGAGGTCCTTCATGGCACTGGAGTGTTAAATCTAGAATAGACACAGACTAGCAAGTGCCAAGGATTCCTGGGCATCCTGGAAAAGGCTTGAAACCAGGTCAGAGTGGCTGGAGTGGACGCAGCTGCTGACCCAACCACAGATTGAGGTCAACATCAACAGAACGCTTGCTCATGTTGTCTTTTAAGACATGAGGTGGTTTCCAAGAATATATAAAAACACTAAACACTTGTCAAGCTTGTACAAGACCCTGGGTTCCATCCCTAGCACTGCAAAAACCAAACCAAACCAAACCAAATCAAACAAAAAAGGAAACTAGAAAAATAAGGGACAGGATTATCCCAATAGAGGGGACAAAGATGATGAGCTGGTTAGATGGCTGTGAAGGAGGGAACGGGCTGGTATAGTGCACATGAGGGATACAGCCAGCAGAGGCGCCAAGACACCCCCAGGTTCCTGGCATGTTGTGTTGGGAAGACAATAGGCATTGGGCATGCCCAGTAAAGTCAAACCCAGGCTTCCCAGAATTCCCTGTGTTCCAAGACTTGAGCAGACTCATCCTGGTCTCTATCAGCCAATAGGGGGAGCCCCAGTGGCAGTGACATGGCTCAGAGAGTAAAAGCACTTGCTGCCAAGACTGATGACCCAAGTTTAATCCCTGAGACCCTCATGGTAGAAGGAGAGAACCAACTCCCACAAGTTGTTCTCTGACCTCCACACATATGCTTTGGCACAAGTGTACCCACCTATATACACATACACAAAATAAAATTTAAAAATGTAATTAAAAATAATTTTTTTTTAAAGGATTTGGGTATGTGGAGAGGTTCCCATTCTTTAGCTCTTAGATGTCAGATTTCCATGTCCATTGGCTTTCTTGCAGTATCTGTAACACCTCAGTGAAGATGAGGGTGCAAGGTAGCTCTTAGGAGTGGAGTTCCCAAGATTCAGGTCACAGAGCTCTTAAGGGTTGGGCTGGGAATCCAGCCTTTTCCAGCCTTCTTGTCTGCAGGAGCCTATCCTCCTAAAGAAAGAGGTCAGTGCTTAGAGATGTTGGTCCCCATTCTGGGCAGGCTGCAGCAGGAAGACAGGATATTTCACCCAAACTCTACAATTAGAAACTCAAAGACACATATGGAACTTCCATGTTCCTTCTCTTAGTAAGGGCTTAGAACTATTCTATTTACAGTATAAAGACAGCCTTATAAACACAGGAAGGGCCAGACACTTTTCTGGTACTTTTTGAAGCCAATTTCCACTCACAAAATTAAACTTCAGCATGGGCTAATGTCTTCCAGGACAACACAACCAACAGAGATCCACACTGAAGGGAGTGGGGCCTCAATTCTCAGTCCATAAACCCTTCTGTGTATCTTGGAGCACTGCAGCATCAGTAGAGGCCTTTGCTCAGGGGCTCAAGCCTGGCCCCAGTGCAGCGACTCAGCTTCTCCAGCACCAGCTTCTCTTGACTGTACATCTGGAACACAGCAACACACAAGCTGGCAAGAGAGGACTCCTGGGACCTTTCCCCTGCGTCTAATTCTGCTCAAGTCTCACCTCTTATAGAAGCCCCTACCTGTAGCCTGTCCTGGCTCTGCACAAGTCTAAGGGCAGCAACTGAGCAGAGACTGGAGGAGCTGTGGGTAGACAGAAGGTGCAAAGGAGGGCAGCAGAGAGTGGGCTCCTGAAGGCAGGAGAGACGCTGGAGTATACAAGGGGCGTAGGAGGTATGGGACATGAAAGGTGTGGGCATAGGAGAGGCTGCGGGGGGATAGCAAAACTAGAAGGGGATGTATTTTTAATTGAAAAAAATATGTTCATTTGGGGGAGCTGGAGAGATGGCTCAGTGTTGAAGAACACTTACTGCTCTTGCAGAGAACCCTGGTTCTCTTCCCAGCACCCACACGATGGCTCACAATCATTTGTAACTCCAGTTCCAAGGGATCTGATGCCCTCTTCTGGTCTCTACAGGCACCTGCATGCATGTGGTACACATAAACTCTTGCAGGCACATACACATATACATAAATAAAACAATAAATCTTTAAAAGGATGTTCATTTGAAGTTGGGGCTAAAGGGAGACTCTGTCTCAAAAAGACCAAAAATAAATAATAAATAAACGAATCAAAGAATGTTCATTTGGAACAATAGGCTATTTGCTTACAAATATAACCTAAGCCCATTAGACACTGTGGTGGGCTTTATAAACATGATACCTAGCGGATGTGGTGGCGCATGCCTTTAATAACAAAACTCGGGAGGCAGAGGCAGGCAGATCCCTTGTGAGTTCAAGGCCAGCCTGTGTCTACATAGTGAGTTCCAGGACAGCTGGAGCTTACAGGGAGATCCTGTCTCAAAAAGACCAAAAAAAAAAAACAAACAAACCAAAAAACAAAAAACCACCATGATGCCGATCTGCTTTAGAAGAAACAAACCACTACTTCACTTGACCTGTTTCCAACTGATAGGTAAGATTAGTACTTTTGTGAGGTCCTTCTAAACATTAATTGGCCCTCTGTCCCCTGTCAATACTAGCATTCCAGGGAATTGAACTTTGTCTTTTTTTTTGAGCTAAGGACCGAACCCAGGGCCTTGCACGTGCTAGGCAAGTGCTCCACCACTGAGTTAAGTCCCCAACCCCGGAGTTTAACTTAAAAAATATTTATTTTTACTTTATGTATATGAGTGAATTGCCTGCATGTATGTAAGTGCACCCATTGTGCAATACCGGTGGAGGTCAGAAGAGGGTGCTGGATCTCCTGGAACTGGAGTTACGAACAGTTGTTAGCTGCCATATGAATGCTGGGAATCAAACCTAGGTCTTCTGCAAGAGCAGCCAGTGCGCTTAACCACTGAGCCATCTCTCCAGACCCAGAAATTTAACTTTTAATGTGTTTGTCCAGGTGCCTCTCAGTAGTAAACTATACAAGTAACATGAAGAGACAGATATTTAAAACAACACCTGTGAACCCTTGTAGGCAGGATTAGATGGGAGCCTTGGTTCCTACTTCTTGCCAATGGGATGCACTGGGCTAGGCAGCAGCCTAGAGGTTAGGATTATCTCTGTGGGCAGCACATACCCCCTTGCACAGGTACTGTTCCTACCTTCTGCCACTCGGCCTCCGAGCTGTGTGTGAAGCCCAGCAGGTGACAGAGTCCGTGGGCGGCTGTCACCTGTTGGAGTAATTAAGAATTCAGCTCAGGGGAAGATCTTCCAGGAAGCTGTCACTTCAAGATCACAGACTACCTTTGTAAGACTGAGATGTCCTGTGCCTAGACACTAGGACAGTACATACAGTTGCTGCTCTGGGCAGGAATTAAAAGTACCCAGCCTCAGTTCTCTCCTGTCTAGGCAAGTGCTCTACTACTAAGCTACATTCCAACCTCAGTCAATCTAAAATGGAACAATTCACCTAGTTCATTTAGTTAGTGTGGAGTAGTTCTATTAGGGAGTGGACATGGGACTGAGCACAGGGAAAGAGGGATGGCTGTTCTTGGCAGGGCAACACTGGGAGTCCAATTAGAGGTAAGCAGCTAGGAAGAATGGGCTGTAGATCTGAGCTCTAGGAGGTTAGGGTGAAGTATTGCTTGGGCCAAAGAGTTCAGGACCAGCATAGGCAATGAGTGAGCGCCTACATCTTAAAAAAAGAGGGGGGCTGGAGAGATGGGTCAGTGGTTAAGAGCGCTGACTGCTCTTGTAGAGGACCAGGGTTTGATTTCCAGCACCCACATGGCAGCTACGAACTGTCCTTTTCCAGTTCCAGGGGAATCTAAAGCCCTCCTCTGACCTCCACGTCATTGCACGACATGGTGCACTCACATACATGCAGGCAATACACTCATACACATAAAAATAATAAGGCCAGGTGTGGTGGTGCACACCTTTAATCCCAGCACTCGGGAGGCAGAGGCAGGCAGATCTCTGTGAGTTGGAGGCCAGCCTGGTCTACATAGTGAGTTCCAGGACAGCTGTGGCTACAGGGAGACCCTGTCTCAAAAAGACCGAAAAAATTAATTAAAATATTTTTTAATTAAAAAAAAAAGATAAAAAAAGAAAGAGGAAGGAAAGAAGGGAGGGACAGAGGGAGGGAGGGAAGGAAGAAGGGAGGGAGAGAGGGTTAAGTAGCAAAGAAGATGGGGGTTAAGTACAAGAAATATGGGAAGGTGGGAATAGGGCTGGCTATGGTTAAGCTAAGAGAGAAGAAACCAAGGGCCCAGGCTTAACTCTTGGGAACGAAGCCTCAATTTTGAGGGAGGAGGTAAAACAAGTGGGTGCCGAGGGGCTGGAGGCAGAGGAGAGATGGGGAGAACCATTGAAGCCTGCTTCTAATTATAGACAGGGCTGGGCTCAAGCCCATAGAGAGGAGTATAAGGAAGAATCCAGAGAAGGAAAGGGGCACTGCTACACGGGTAGAGAACCCTCTGGAAATGGTTGTGGTCTGCTTGTAGCCCGAGTAACAGGGTATGGGAGCAGGGGTAGGCTGCAGCGGTCCCCTGTAAAGACCATGGCCTCCCCTGTGGAGGGGTGGTTGGGAGGTCACTGAAGTTCAGTGTCCCAGGGCTGGTGCAGGCCAATGAGATGACTTGGAGGACAAGTGGGTAGAGAGTATAGGGAGGGTGCAACCGGTCTGGTCTGGACTGTGCCCCTGAGAATGGTGGCACTGGAGTGGTGGGCTGGCTCTCTGTTGGGGAAAGAGGGAGCCCCCAGAGGGGCTACATCTACTAGGAAGAGCCTGCATGCTGTTTGGCCTTGGCTGACCAGAACACTAATTAAAAGATGAAATAGGAGAAATCAAGCCAAAGTTATCTTGAACCACCTTTAGTTCTTTCAAAAGCCAACCTTAGTATCTGACCTAATATCCTTGTGATTGCCAGAGCAACTGTTGGGAAGTATGTTTATCCTGACACGCCTCTAGCCGCTACCAGCCCTAAAGCCAGAAAAACTCATCAGTATCATCAGAAACCTGCAGAAGAGTTGTCCCTACCTCATCATAGTCTATCTACCTGATGTACCCCAATGCCATTGATTGATTTATGACGTTTTTTTGTTATATGACTATCAAAGTTCATGGAACATGCCATTCAGAGTAGCCTGAATCTGTGTTCCTTGGCCATAGTCATAGTCGGCTAAAAATAAACTAGTTTATTTCTTATAAAGGAGAGTGACTAGTATATGTCCTCAGGAGGCACAGCTGCTGGCTTTAGGCTGAACTTTGCACTAGGCCACATCCTGTCACTCTTAAGAATTTACAACTTCTTCCTCCTTACAACACAGGGAGCGCCAAACTGGATTACCTGGAAAGCCTGGCTCAGGTCACTCTGATGTTCTAGGATGCCCACAGACAGCCAAGTTGTGAGCGTTTTGCCCAAGGAAGGTGCTTCCACTGAACAATCATACTTGTCTGACACCTGTCAGAATCCCTCCTTCCCTTTCCACCCCCCTCCCCCCCCCTCCTTCCTTTCTTCCTTCCAAATCCAGAATGTTGTGAGACTCAGTTCTAATTTTGGCAGCATAAGAAGCTAATACAGCAAGTCTGAGTTAGGCTAACATGCCTCCTTGTTTTAGAGATAAAAGGAGATAAAGCTGAAAAGGTCCTGACTTTTTTTCCTTTTTTTTCAGTGTGTCCTCGCTCCCCAAGATCTGAAGCCTCCTGTGTTTCTATTTTTAAGTTCTCCCATAGTGATACAAAAGTACCAATGGATACTAGTACGCACATAGGGTTCTTTTTCTCTACCTTCTCTATGGCTTGAGTTTTGTTAGCCAGCATATGTGATTTTGCATTCCTACTTACAGTCAGGATGTTGTAGTAATCTTCATTTTCTTTGCACCGCTGGAAGATATACTCCACTCCTAGGAAAATGTCTCCCAAATTATAATCATCTGGAAAATCTGGCTGGGGAAATTCACCTGCTTTCAGGTTCTGAAAATGAAGAAACAGACTTGGAAGCCTTGGGAAGAGTAGCCTAACCATAAGGCGTCACCTGTCCAGGAGGACACAGAACTCTCTGACCACAGAATGCTTAAGCCACTTGCCCAAGGCTGAGCACCATCAAAGGGCCTTGGGGGCAGAATACATAGCCACCATACACAAGGGCCCTGGAAAGCTTTGGCCTCATCAAATTACTTACTTTCCATTTCTATCACCCCAACATGGAGTCATACAGACCCACAATTTCTACATAGTTAAACTGGCACATCAATATAATTACATTATTTTTCACTTGGCATTTTGTCCTCTCAGCCCCTCAGCTGATAACTGCTCAATCTAAGTCAGTCTCCTATGGCTGGATATTTAGGATGCCTCTATTTTATTCTATTAAGGAAGACAGTAAGGCAAACATTTCAACACATTTTTACATTATACATTTGGCACCACACCTTCTTCATTCTATAGATTTATTTCTGCAGGTGTGACACTGGTGAGTAGACATACACGTTTTTAATGTACTTGAAGCACCATATACTACGGTATTTCTTTACAAAACGATCATTTTAATTTACACTGCTACTTAAAACGGGGGAAGATTTACACAAAGTTACCTGCAGCTACATGTTGAAAATATTTAACCCATTTAAAAATTTTCCTTTTTTCCTATTCCAGATATTCACTAAATTTAAAATTGTAGAGGTGCTTCTTGAATTCACTGACAGCACTGAGGGAAAGGGGATGCCTACCCTCCAGGACTTGTATACACTCAGTAGTAGGTCATACTGCTTCACTATGTAGCCCTGGCTGACCTACAACTAGCTATGTAGACCAAAGCTTGCTCCCAAGTCACAGCACTTGGGACTAAGGGTAAGCATGGCCATACTGCTTCGTATTTTTGAAAAATTTCAAAATCAAAGATAACCATGTCTGTAATACAACTAACAGGAAATTTCTGGAAGGCAGGTAACAGGAGAGGAACGTATTTTTTACCTCATGAAATGGGAAAGAAAGCACATCGGTTGGGACGTTTTTCTTTCTGTAGATCCTATTAATGTGCTGAATATTCTTGTTGTCAACACAGATGATCCCCAGATCAAATTTCTGCACTCCTAAAATGCTCCTTATCAGCTCCATGTTCCTGCGAAGTGGCACTCTCTTGACGGGGACCACTCGCTGCAGATTTTTAATCACCAAACTCATTTCTGGAGGAACACCCAGCCCTTTTAAATGTTTGAAAAGAAACCTGTGATTAAAGTTTAAGAGCAGACCCATTCAGTTCTTGAAGATGATGGATTTCATCAAAATACACATACATTCACAATAAAAACCACTTTATTTAGTGAGATTTATAGTTTTAAGGGGATTTACATTTGCCATAGGAACTATATACAACGGTGTGTTGTGGAGGTAAGGGATTTTGGGCTGAGCGCTACAGGATGCGGGAGGGTGGAGGTAGAGCGAGGGCGTCGTGGCGGATGAGGGGGGAGGGGAGGGGGGAG